ATTTAATACAGCATCGGTTTGTGTTACTACAGTGTGTATCGCTTGAGCAAATCAGAAATGTCAAGGGATGGAAAATTTTAATATGTAAATGCATACTTTCAGTCCTTAGTATGTCTTTGATCTTTCTGCGTGAATAGCTGAGAGGCATCTGTCTTCCCGTTCCGCAGCCCTTCATCTGCATGGTATCCCATTTTGTGGGTAACTAACCAATCCTGTATCATTCTAATCAACCTGAATATCCTGTCATTAAGCTTTACAAATGATATTGCAGTGAATAATTTTGCTGTATAAATACATAACTGCTCAATTGGATATATAACATGTAATAGATATTGCCCAACTGCAAGGATGTCTTTAGGATAAACTTCCAGAAGTGGAATTAATGGATCAGACATTGTATACGCATTTGTACTTTTGTCTTCCATAATGATTGTATTGATTGATAGCAAAATATGAGTGGTTGTTTCCTTCTGAATATAAGTTATGTTAGCACATTTTTCTTGGCACTCCTGAAGTGAATTATGGGATCTTGTTTTAGTTTTAATTTGCATTCTCTCATGATTGTAGTCGTATATCCCTTCATACATTACAATCCGTTTGTATTTACTTTTACTGTCCTTTTATGGCCTTTGCTAGTTTTTCTATTGGGATTTTTTTTTTAAATTTTATTTATTTATTTGAGAGAGAGAAAGAGAGAGCATGAGCAGGGGGAGGGGTACAGGGAAAGGGAGAAGCAGACTCCCTACTGAGCAAGGAGCCTGATGTGGGGCTCGATCCTAGGACCATGACTTGAGCCGAAGGCAGAGGCTTAACCAGTTGAGCCAACCAGGTGCCCGATTCTTTTTCTTTTAAAGAGCTCTTAATCCATTTGGGAAATGAAGCCTTTGTTTTTGGTAGTAGTCAAAAATATTTGCTGTTTATCTTTTAACATTGCTTATGATTTTTAAAATATCAAACTTTTAAAAATACAGTCCTGGTTACTCCTTTTCTTAGTTGTAGAAAATCTTTAGTTATTGTGGCTTCTAAATCTGTCTGCCTTTCATTTTCTATTTTGTCTCTATGAGACGGCCCTTGTTTTAAATATGACATTCTCTTAGTCTTCTCCCTTTCTTTTCCAAGGATACTTGTCATTGTCATTGGATTTAGGGCCCCCACTAATTGGGGATGATCTCATCCCACACCTTTCAACTTAATCACATTTGCAGACATCCTTTTCTTGTTAAGGTCATAGTCTTAGGTCCCAGGTGGGCATATCTTTTGGAGGACCACTGTTCAAACCACGACAAGAGCCCTATGTGATTGTTTTCTGATTTTCATCTCTCCAGGGGTTGTCTTCGAGAATTATGTTCCTAACGTATGATCTGAATATTTAAAGCTCTTGAAGTATATTTTCAATTCCTCTCGAAAGGAAAATTATTCTATGCCTTCTGCTATACAGGGTGTGGGTGCTATGAATAGCATTCCATTCTGGGACTTGCAAAAGCAAGCGGCTGAGAACTTGTAATACTTAATTTTTATTTTTTTTCCTGCTCCATAAACTTCTGATTTTTTTTAAAGGCATGTCTACATTAAGCCTTCCTCCTGTTTTCATGTTTCCGCATAAATGATATATTGAACTAACTTGACACTGTGTTGAATGTAACAACGGGTATCAAAGTCTTCTTACAGTGTTTAAATTCAAGAGGCATGAACTCAGAATAGGGTTCCTAAGCATTGTCTATACATCAGGTGGCGTTATAACATCGTTAGTATAGAACAGAAATGGGTATACATAAGCTTTATAACTTTGGTCAAGTTTTATACTTTTCATTTAGTTACCTCCTGGCAAGTTTGAAATTTCAAAGATGTCAGCAAAAATATTGATTAGAATGGGTTTTCGGTTTATAATGATACATGATATTATGCATTCGCTAGCTCCACAGGCCCCAGTCTCAAAATTGAGTATAAAAACTGTCTGCAGACAAGATTTATTCATTCCTATCCTGTTTTCTTGCACAAAATCCTTAAACACAACCAAGTAATGGATAGACTGAATATATTAACATGAGGTTGTAAACTGTATTTTTAAGGTTACAGTTATAACTTTTTAAGTGTGATGAAATGTCTTCCTTTTTACTCTTCTCAATAAAATCTATCATTTATTGTACTAAAGCCTTTATGACTGAGCAAATGACAGTCCTTTTGCTGCAGCGATACTGAGTGTAATTCAGCCGGCGTCCTGACAGTCTTTCATAAGCTACTTCCATATTTGGGGATCATTCTTCACTCAGACACAGGGTACTCATGTCGCTGAGCCTGTTACCTGTTAGATTGTGTGGTTTTTCCTTTGTTTCTTTAGTTTTTGGTTTATCGGTGATAAATTCTCCGTAAAGTCGCTGTAAAGTTCAGTTTTGTTCATGAAAACATGAATGCAGAAAATTAAAAGAAGCTAGAAGGGATCTGGATGGTCATTCTGCTCGGATTTTTTTTTTTCCCTATCTTCAAAGTGATGAAATTGAATCTTGCTAGAGAAGTGGCCCAAATCATTTATTTCTGGGTCTCCATTAAAACCCTGGGCTCTGGATCTCAACACCATTGTTCCTTCTTCAATTTTAGTGCCTACTTATACTGCCTGTGAAGTCGCAAACTGTTGGTACATAATAAACATTTCTTGAATATAAATAAGCGTGAGTCTTTAATCTCAAAGCTTGAAGTATTCCTTCAGTGTTCATTTCTAAGGTACAATTATATGCAAAATTAACTCAGTTTCAAACTCTACCTCGTTATGAAGATTCTGGTGTTTATCATCAGCTGGAAAAATATTTAAATAATAAGAGTTGTCTGCTAGATACTCCGAAAGATACTATAAGATTATAGAGAATAAGAAACGAATAGAAGCCTCATCACGAGGTTACTGATCCATTAGGGTGTGTTTTTTTTTTCCCAGTCCCTTTGTGTGTGTGTGTGTGTGTTTGATCTCTGCATAGATTCTTTTCAATTAGTGATGCCAGTTTTGTTGTTTGCTTTCAGAACTGAGTGTAAGAATTTTCCTTTGAAAGAATCCTTTCTTAATGGATGCATGAAGGTTTGTTTGGATGTACCATCATTTCACTCTTCGTCTTCTATAATGCTGAAATAAGCCACTGGATTACCTCTTGTCAGATTCGGTGACTTGTAGGAGTGATGCTTTGGACAGCAAGGTGGGAGGCTCTTGATGCCCCACCTCCGGGCTGCTGGGGAAAGCCTAGTTCAGTGACCTTGGTGGCTGTGAACGAGACTTGAGTTTGCTTTTTGCCCAAGCCAACCCCCTTACTTGTAAAAACCTTTGTAACTTTGATCAGAGAAAATGATATTGTGTTTTAATTGTACTGCTTTTGACCACCATGGCTTTTTTTTTTTTTTTGGTCCTAGTGGTTGACACCATGTCCTTCCTTCAGCAACAGCTTTGGGGAGAGACAGAAGGTTACGCGGCGATATGCTTGGATTGCAAGAAAACATTAAAATGAGGGAGGATGTGTGTCTTAGAACTAAGGAAACAGAGTCTGTAATTTAATGAATACTCACTGAGAACGTCATGCATTTTGTAATTTCTTTCTGGTGTTTATGAGGTAGATATGATTCTTCCTGTTTTATGAACGAGGGAATTCTTACAGAGAGGTGGAGTGACTTGCCCAAGTTCAATGCAGCGTGCAAGCAATCGAGCTGAGCTTGAGACACAGGCATCCTTGACTTGAGAAGCTGCTAATAATCATCCCACAGAACAGGCTCTGAAATGTAGATCTGTGTGAACAGGGATTTTTTTTTTTAATTTCACTTATATCAAAAGAAAATCAGATGTCGAATAGCTATTTCTGTTTTAGGACAAATACTTAGAGGTCTTCTTTTAGAATAATAAAAGTAGATAAAATGAGTACTTGGACTCTTAGGACCCAGAGGCATTCTGTTCTCTGTACATACATGGAGTTTCTGTGTAGCGCTGCCTGGGAGAGGGGGGGCACCATGGACTTTGTACCCAGTGAGAAGGGTGCCCCCAAAGAACAGCACGGTGCGTGATGGAGAACTTGCTGCCCATGAGGCCAGTGGTGTGGCTCTGGACCTATGTTGACATATGTTGAACGTGAGGTTTGGAGCAGAGATTTTTCTGGATCTGTGATCTGGTTCTGGCATTTGCTGGTGTAACCTTGGGGCCATTAACCTAATTCCTCTCTGCCTTTTTTTTTTTTTTTTTCCATTTTCTTATCTCGTTGCCCTCACTCCTCCAAATCAGGCAGCTTTAGCACTTTCCACTTTATGGGAAATCTTTATGGGTCCTTTAGCCACAAAAGGCACGTAGCTCCAATGCCTAGAGAGGAAGCAAGAAGCAAGATTATGTACACGTGCTGTCTTCTTAGGCAAGTCCTAACACAGGGGGGCTTGACTGTGACTGCTTTCGATAAATTCTCGTTGTCAGGTCGCATCTTAACGTTGTCCTGATACATGAGATAGATACTGTGATGGGAGGGTGTGCAAAAGCTTACTTTCCCACATACAGTAGATATGCATACTGTTAAATTCCAGATAATATTCAGCATTCATATATCTAGAGGATGCTTTGTTTCTTTGTAAGATCAGTATTTTCTAGAGCATGTTATATTCTTCCATTAAGTTTCTAGTTTTTAAAATAAGTGTTCAACTTACATAAGTTGATTAATTATATAAATGTACGTGGCATTCTTTTCATATTGAGCTTGAGAGCTATTTTCTGTTCGCTTCTCTCCTTTTTTACTTTAAAGTTTGTAGTCATATGTGATAGGAACGATTTAAGAGGTGACAGGATGAGTGAGCGAGCTATTTTAGGTGGTTTCTCAAAGAAGGAGAAAGAAGCTCCTGTTTTTGTCAGGCATCTCAAAAACTATTTGGCTAATAAATGACTTCTTAGGATTCCTCATAGGTTTAAAAATAAGGAGCTAAACTATTTTGATACTGATGGTGTACATATATTATTCTGCAACTTACTTTACTTTTCCCCCTGTCATTTTTAGGATTCTGAGTAACAACAAAATATCCGAGCTGAAGAATGGCTCATTTTCTGGGTTAAGTCTCCTTGAAAGACTGTGAGTATTTTTTTATTATATCTTATTGTTATTTTACTTACTGAATTTTTTTCATTTATTAAGAGCTTTATTTGAAAGAGAATACTTACTGTATTTTTATTGTAAGTCTGTGACTAACCTCCCGACTTTTCAGAATAAAAAATCTGAGTTTTTCCCAACATTTTATTATGAAAAACCTCAAGAATTTAATTCCAAGAAACAATTAGCTAATTAGATGTTGGCGGATTTTCTGTAAAGGGCCACGTAGTAAATAATTTAGTCTTTGTGGGCCATATGGTCGGTGTCACGATGCCCCGATTCTGCCCTTATAGTGGGAGGGCAGCAATAGACAATAAGTAAATGAGTCCAAGTGGAGGTGACTTTATTTGCAAAGCAGGCTGGGGATCATGGTTTACTGGTCGCTGGCTTTTGGAGCATAGATGCTGTTTTGAAGTTTTGTCGTGAAGGGTGTGCCTTATAAAACAGTTAAGTAAAATTTAAACACCTCAAGGAGGGAAACTTTTGGATAGACTTTGATATTCTATTCAGATGTCTTTGAATGTGATCATTTTGTCTTGCTTAGAAACTAGGTCTAGTTGTGTTTATGATCAGATATAAGTAGTGCTTATCTTTTTGCCTTGGATTTGACACAGTGGATATTCAATTTGCTTGTATTATGAATGATAAGCCAGGATCACGTTTCAAATTCCCTTATCATCCGTACATTTATTAGGATAGCATTTCAGGACATTCTTCCTTTTTTCTTTTTCTTTTTTTTTTTTTTTTTGAGGAGGCTCCATGCGTGGAGCTTGAACTCATGACCCTGAGATCAAGAGTTGCGTGCTCTGCCGACTGAGCCAGCCAGGTATCCCTACAAAAACATTTCAGATGTTAGGTAATAAAAGGAGCCTCCCCATTTCTGTTGAATTACAGATTTTTGTTATTTTCTTAGTCTCTTTACTCTGCTGCACTTTCTCTGTGTGTGGTCTTTCCTTGACCATTTTACCTAGTGGCCTTTACAGTCAGACTCCCTAAGATGTTACTGCTTTGATCACTGATGTGTTATTTAAACATATACCTAGAGTTTATATTTATCCTTTTATATATGTCTGTTCTTTTCATTGAGCATATGTCTTAAATCAAGTCTTTGTTTTTAAGGCTCCATGCCCAGCGTGGAGACCAACACGGGGCTTGAACTCACAGCCCTGAGATCAAGACCTGAGCTGAGATCAAGAGTCAGACGACCATCTGAGCCACCATGAGCCTCTTAAATCAAAAGTCTTAAAAGTTAGGTTTTCACATATATTCATATATATAAAAACATATATAAAAATAGCACATTTTTACATACATAAAGTAGCAGTACATTCAAGTTTGCATACGTATGCATATGCAAGCATAAATATGTACATGTGTGTGTGCAGATATGCACATGTAGAATGTTCTTGGTGCAGCAATGTTTAATTCTCAGATTTTCTCACTTCTGTTTTCATTCAACTATTCCTCCACATAGGCCATGTGCTTCAGAGGATGCTGGGCATACCTCTGCGCTAAGCCTAACTAGGCTGAGGCGAGTCCTTCACTCCTATTCCATGGGTACAGGTTGAGGAATGGGCACCTGAAAGGATCTTGCCCAAGCATGACTGCCTCTGGACTGTTACTGTTATGTGAGGCCGTGTGTTCCCATTCGGTTTTCGTGTTTCTTGTAAGAAAAGTCATTGTAGGGCAGCCCTGAGGCCCAGTGGTTTAGCCCTGCCTTCAGCCCAGGGCATGATCCTGGAGACCTGGGATCGAGTCCCACATTGGGCTCCCTGTGAGGAGCCTGCTTCTCCCTCTGCCTGGGTCTCTGCCTCTCTCTCTCTCTCTCTCTCTCTCTCTCTCTCTCTCTCATGAATAAATAAATAAAATCTTTAAAAAAAAAAAGGAAAGAAAAGAAAAGTCATTGTGGTTGACAGCCTTAGCATGTAGCTCATTGTCAGGCATTGAGTACGTGCTTGGTTAATGACTGAGGGATCGGTGGGATCTTTTCTTTCCAGAGGAAGGATGACAGGGATGACCACGTTACATAAATGGTGTCTGTTGTGTTTATAAACGTGTTTTCTTTTTGGCCACTAGAGTTACTGTGGTTGTTCATGCACATCATAAAAAATATGGACAACAGAGCTGAAAGTATGGACAACACATGCTATGCTGTGAATTACTATAGTTTTTACCTTTGCTTTTTAATTTCATTTTGGTCTTTGACCAGCTCTCCATCATTTATTGATGATAAATCCCTATACATGAGAAACATACTAGGTTGCCACCAATATATTAGGTGATACTAAGATGCTACTGTGATTGTTTTCAGCTGGGGCTTGTCTATACCTGAATCCCAGGACACTTCATCTCCTTTGTAGGACCACAGATATAGATAGGTAGACACACATACATACATGTACACATATGAGTGTGTGTGTCCATATATAAATGGACTAGGACCCCAGTGATGACTTTGGGACCTGGGCCATCTCTGTTGGGAAACATTTTTACTTCAGCAGACCCTAAGCTCAGCATTTCCTACAGACCCTTCAAGGCCCAAACCTCTGTCTCGGCCTCACTGCCTCCCTCACTGCTAGGGAGGCCATGCGTGCCTGGGTGGGACCTGCCCCCCATGCTGTCTCCGTGGGAGAACGACACACTTCAGAAAGAAAGAGAGAGGATATGGTGAGGCTCTTACTGTTCTGGCTTTGAGAAGGAAGGACAGGGGAGCACGAGTTCCAGAGGAAGCGGCCTGTTAGTAGGCTGTGAGCATGAGCTCAGATAGAGCTCCACGTTCCTGCTGGGACCAGTGGCTGGAACGGCCTGAGAGAGCCCGATTGCTGGGGGTGGCTGGCACCTTGCAGAAACACCCTGGTGTTTGGTTTGTCTTGTGCTCTGGGAATTAGGTAAAACAGAGATCCCACAGCCAGTTGCTTGGGAGTTCATGACCAAACGCTGGTGAAGGTCTCCTCGGCCCCATTCATCCTCCGTGGGCATGGAAGGTGGGCTGTTGGTGCAGGGTCATGGGGAGGAGGGGACTGGGGCCGGCCTTCCCCTGGAGCCCAGCACTCTCTCACAGTCACACTTTCTCCTCCCTTGCTCTTCTCTGATTTGATGCACTACTGTTGAAGCTGAGGGCTCCGTGGATTTTGTAATTTCCATATCAACTCCTGGAATAATCTCTTGATTCCTGCCTTCTGCTGTTGCCACAGCCCTTCTCATTTTCCCTCTCTGCAGGCCATCTAACTGACCTGCTCTGCCTCCATGTCCCACTGTCCCCTTCCTGTGACTATATACAAAGACCGTCTTGTCCTTGCTTTATGGCTGTCAACTCTACTTTGTATCCTTCTGTGATTTTCTTCACTGTAGGATTCTTCTCACGGACTCTAGTTTGCTTCGGGACCTCGGGACCTCGTCATGCTATCTGTGAAATCTCTAGGGGTCTTCTCTTCCAAGACTCTCCAGGGACTTTTGGACTTTGTCTTGGTCTCTCTCTGCATCAGACACAAGCTGTGTGAATGCAGTGGTTCTGTTAATCTGCTCTGGCTGGCATAACAAAGTACCGTAAGACCGGGTGCCTTAAACAACAGACATTTATTTCCTCCTACTTCTGGGGGCTGGAAGTTCAAGATCAAGGCACTGGCAGGGTTGGTTTAATCTAGGGCCATGAGGGAAGGATCTGTTCCAGGCCTTTCTCCCTGACTTATATATATAGGTGGCCGTCTTCTCCCTGTGTCTTTCCATGGTCTTTCCTCTGTGTGTGTGTGTGTTTTCACATTTCCTCGCCACATTTGGAAGTCACACTGCTCACATTGGATTAGGACTCCAGTGTCCTCATTTCAAGTTCATTACCTCTTTAAAGAACCCATCTCCAAATACAGTCCCACCCATTTGGAGGGAAGAGTAAGGGTTAGGGCTTCTATATGGAATTTTGGAGGACACAATTCATCCTACGACAATGATGTGGCATTTTTGTAGATATGCTAAGGTATGTTTTCCCTGCCTGTTCCTAATTACTCTGCCATGGAAGGGATGACACCACAGATAAAAGGACTCCATTTTTGGCCATTGAGTTCCAAAAGTCTTACCTAGTCCAATATAGAAAAGAAATTTGAGTAAAGGTAACATAAGAGAATCTTCCTCCTTTTCTAAATACATATTCTTTGGGCTCACTGGGGAGTTAGAAGGAGTGTAGAAAGAGCTTTTATGCTGGTGGGTCCCTAAGAAGGATCTCTGTCTTTGCTTTCTCATCCATACTGGGTTTAGAGGAAGGATGGGGAAAGACAGCATGGAATAAAACCAGTATATGGTTCTGGATCCTAGGGCCAAGGGCCTCTGAGGCCGCTTTCCTGGAGAAGAAGCAAACCCGTAAATTTCCCAGGACCCAGTGCAATATAAGAGCAGAAGAACTGGTCACATAGCCCTGGAGGGGCTGTGTGTTTCCCAGGGGAACAGCGGAATGGCTCTTTGCTGAGCAAAGCGATGGGGTTGTTTGCAAAGATGTAGTTAGTGCTCCTTCTATAGGAGACTACTGATTGTTAGTAAGTGACATCGAAGGGTCTGGGCTACTCACGTTGAGCTCTGGACTGAAGCCGTAGCTAGCCAAATAAGTGACCTAAGGTCTTTGTAAATGACATCAGTTTCAAATTTTTCAGAATTAGTTGAGAAAAACAGTGTGTAGCTGATTTTATTCCTTCATGGCTGGTCATTCCCGTGCATCTCTCCTTAGGTATTTCACGTGTGAACCCGAGAGCTTTTTGTGCTCCGGCACTGGGGTGGAAACCCTCCACCAATGACTGAGAGCAGGCGGTGGATAGCCACCGACCACCTCCCCTCTCAGGAGGGGTGTCCCTGCGGCATGCTCTAGCACCGCCTTCCACCGTTCCCTAGGGGACTGCAGTTCGCCTCACCAGTGCCCCTTGAATTGGCTTCCTTGTCATTAAGGACTGGCCGGGTTGAATTAACCAGCAAATACGCTTCAGAGATTAAGGAGGTCTGCA